ATTTGATTTCAAATAAATGCTTCTTCTTTTGAACTTTCTATTTATTAAAGAATAATGAAAAAATGTATCAATTTCCACAAAAAATATTAAGCATACAACGGGTTTCCAAATTGATTAAAAAAAATTATATTTCTTGAGCAGCAGATCAGCATATTACAATGATTTCTGAAGGATCATGTGACACTGAAGACTGGAGTGATGATGCTGAAAATTCAGCTTTGCATCACAGAAATAAACTACATTTTAAAACCTATTAAAATAGAAAACAGTTATTCTAAATTGTAATAATATTTCCCATTATTACAGTTTTTACTGTATTTTTGATCAAAAAAATGCAACCTTAATGAGCAGTAGTTTACTTTATGAAATTTTCTCTACAAGTCACCCAAATCGTATAAGCTACAAAAAAAATAAAATTTTGAATAATAATAATAATTATTATTATTATTATTATTAATAATAATATTATTATCATTATCACGTATAATCACCCCCATTAAGGCGGTAGTTTACTTTATGAAATCGTATAAGCTACAAAAAAATAAGATAAATGTTCAATAATAATAATAATAATTATTATTATTATTATCATCATCATTATTATTATATACTGGAAAGATGGGGGAAAATTAAAATAGAATTTGGGAAAAAATAAAATGCTGTGTTGGGGGGGGGAAATGGATTTCATACCCTTAGAGGACTTAAAGAAAGCTTGATCTATGCTGTTAAACCAAGTCAAAACATATTTTGAATAAAGTTTTTAACTAAATTGGGTTTGCCTGAGGACGAAAAAACAAACATAATGGAAGACGTGTAGACTGAGAAAAACAATCTCACGAGGAGCTGCTCACAGGAGAACAGACCCAAGCAGCCACTCACAAGATTAATCAACAGTAATTAGAAGACGGCATCCCTACTGGACCACTTCACATTTACCTCCCCCAGTGTGGAAAAAGACACACAGAGCAGAAAATAAGACCAGAAACACGTCTGTTCCTAGCAATATGCTCTTTCTGTATTGCTGTGCAATTAAACTACTGGGGAGTGTGCAGCTGAGGAACAGGATGTGACATCAAACACGAGAAAACAAGCACAGGAAAGACTGTTAACTACCTTTTTAATTGAAAGCTGTTTTGTAGGGCTGGACTGTGCAGGCAAGTCAGTTAATAGGAACAGTATGTTCACACATATTGTTAGTGCTGAATCAGTAGTACTTGGATGTGATCAACTAACAAAATTAGAGATGGGAATCGAGAACAAGTTATGAATTAAAGCTGATTCCAAAACAAAAAAATAAACAAAAAACTAACTTAAAAAAAAACGAAATAAACCAAACATAATAAATTAAATAAAATAAAAATAAAAAACTAAATATAATTTTTTGAAAATGTTATATATACACTTATAATGAGCTTTAAAACAAAGTAAAATACTGTCGCTAATATAAAGTTGCCTTGGCAACAGAAAACAATAACATGACTACTGTATTCCAGTATGTACCGTTTTCTTAAACTCAGGTTTAAATCATTCTAACGACTCGAACGTAATTTCTTTTTATATTCATAACTTTAAATGAACCAAAAATTTTTGAAACACTAACAAAATGTTGAAAGAAATGCATAGACATGTACCTGAGAGAGACTGCCAAGAACGAGCCTCACCAGCTTCCTGATGTATGAAAAGGAAGGGTCACAGTTGGAGTTACGGATGTGAGCGCTGCAGGTGTCCAGAGCCGACCGTACGGACAGTCGGGTGAGCGTGGAGTCATCACACATGTTGAGCAGGACGTTGTTCAGATGTTCTCCTAGTTTCATTGGCTAAAAACACAGTGAAAAGACACAAGAAGTTCATGAATTATCTAGAATCTATATCTGCCACAAGTCCTGGGCCAAAATCATTTATTTACTCAATTTAAAATGATGTTGCAATGGGACAGAAGAAAGAAACTGTAGAAACTCTATTCTTAGACTGAGGTTAGTATGTAGAAAATACACAGTACATACCAATACTGGGTTAAAATGTTCAATTCAATTTGATTTTAACTATTCTAAATCTTTTTTTTTTTTTTTACATTAAATGAAGTACATTAATAGGAATTAAATATTAAATGTCTAAGTCTCACCTGGCTCTGTGGAATCTCATAGTCTGCACCCCAAAACAACGTCATGCCAAGTGAATACACGTGCATCTAAAAGTTGAAAAAGAAACAGAGACAACATCTGACAATGGAACATTTTAGCCCATGTTTTCATGTTTTAGCCCACATAATAAAACTGTACAACAACTGAAAACCTCATTCCGACACATTGTTGCACACAAACTTGTCTTCAGAAGCATTTGCTACCCAGAGTATGTTTTAGGCATTAATCAGTATCAAACTTTATATATAGCACCTCTGCTAAACCTTTTGTGTTTCTTCCCTGTCTAGTTCTTCTGTCTGTTCTTCCTGCTAAAGAATAGCTTTGGGAACAAAATATCCAAGAGTGTGCAAAAGAATGCACAAGATCCTCTGACTTCTCTGCAAATAATCATGTCTTGAGACTGTAGTGTATTTATTTCTTTTTAAGAATGTCATGTGTACACAGAAGCGTACTGTCAAAATGACTTGAGAGATAAAACATATGTGTAAAATGGAAAAGAAATAGTTGTTTTCCTTTTTTGGTCGACAATGAAAAACAAAGTTTTCATTTTCTCTTTTCTCTCATATTCACATGACAGCAAAAAAAAAAAAAAAGACAGACAGTTATGAAACTCACTGATAAAAGGGTTCTTTAAAGCAAAAATAAATCCTGCTTATTAATAATTAAAAGCATTCAATATTTGTGATGTAAATTGGTACCAGAAGTTATGAAAAAAAGACTGCTTAAACTGCTTAAAAACATGCCCAACAAATGTCTTTCACAATCCAAAAGGTACCTTTTCCATATCAGAAAGCGAGGAGAGGTTGAGACCCTCCAGCATCTCTGGAGGAGTGAAAGCCTGCAGATCCTTCTGTGTGACATTTTCATCTGTGAAAGAGATGTTTCCAGAAGGCATGAGCAGCAGCGACCATGGAGAGATGATAAAACCCAATGCAGATGGATCTGTCGAACCTGAGGTAAAAAAAACAAAAAAACATGCAGTATTACCACAAACTGCAATTCTAAGGACATGGCCTGAATCTTAATCAAATTAAAATATATACATATAATAAAATAAAAATGTAATTAAATTTAATTTAATTTAAAACCCAATGCAGATGGATCTGTCAAACCTGAGGTGTAAAAAAAAAAATTAATTACCTCCAGTATTACCGCAAACTGCAATTCTTAGGACATGGCCTGAATCTTAATCAAATTCTTAAAAATAAAAATATAAAAATAAAAATAAATTAAAAAAATAAAAAATAAAATAAAATAAAATAAAATTTAAA